AAGGGTGGGCTCCTGTGGGGCGTTGAGTGGCTCTTGGACGTCTTTCGTCTGAATTACATGTTGAAATAATATTGAGATTCTTATTTAAATAAAATATGCCATAAAGTTTATGTATCAATGAATAAGTAAATGTACCGTAGTCTGCAGCCTGGCACCCTGCACGCTGCAGCAGAACCGACACCCAGGAAGGCTGCCTCCCACCCCAGAGCGATTGCTGCTGCGCCACTCCCACGGGAAGGGAGGGAGGCGCGGGTCCCGAGCTGGAGCTCACAGCGGGACGGGCACACACGAGCTCCATGTAATGTGGAAGGGCAGAGGCGTCGTGACTTCTAGTGCGGAGAACGCACGTTCCGGAGCAGGGAATTTACCGCTGCACAGCAGCAGGCCACATTGGTTTTGCTGTCTTGTTCACTAGAAATGAAAATCAAAATGATCTCACAAGCAAGTGAGGTGCACACAGTCCCTAAACGTGTGCTTTGAAATGTCACTTCTCCCGTGGGACCTAGAGAAGATCCCCTCTGTCCTGTGGATCTGGAAAGATGGTGGCTGCCTCTTTCAGAAGCAGTTTTTGATGCAGGGCTGACATCGCTTCAATCCTGGACAGTGAACTTGTAGAAACCTACCCCAAGGGGTGACGGTGAGAGAGGGGTCTTTCGGAAATGATTAGGTCAGGAGCAGAGCACCGTGGTGGCAGTAGTGCCTTATTACAGAGACTCAGTTCTCTCTCCCTCTCGACACCACGTGAGGACACACAGGAGACTTCTTCCCTGGAACTTGCAACTTGCCAGCATGCCCCATTGTGGTGGATTGACAACTGGTAGTCAACCTTTAACACCCAGCTGAACTGAGCAAGCATGGTGCTGGGTGTGGGAGGCCCACCTGAGGGTTGTTGCCAGCAGCATAAGAGGCAGAACTGGATAAGAAGTTAGGCTATTGTGAGCCTGCTGGAAGCTGTTAGAAACTGTAGAGCTGTTGGTTCTCTTAGAGGAGCTTGTCGTGCTGGCCTTCCGGATGAACTCGGCTTTTCTCATCATTCGAGGAGCTCGGGACCCTGTTGTTGCTGAGAATAGCTTCAGTTCACTTTGGAGGAACTCTGGTCCTCACTTTGAGCATTGCTTCCTGTCTCCGGAGGGGAAGATGGTGCACTGCTCAGTCTCCTGGAGAAGCTTGTGGTGTTGGCTTTCCTGATGGGAACTCAGCTGTGCTGATCATCAGAGGAGCTCAGGACCTCACTTGTGCAGAGGATGGCTGTGGTACTTTTTGGGCGAGCTCCTGTTCTTACTTTGAGCATTGCAGATGCAGATCCCTCAGCCTGCTAGCACAGATCCTTCATCCCGCTGGCACAGACTTTCTAGCTTCCACCACTGACCTTTGGGCCTTCCCAGCACAGATCCATGAAACAGGCCTGCATGAGACATTGCTGTGGGCTCTTGGCCTCCAGCTGGACTCATGAGAGGCACTGTTACGGGCTCTAGGTCTTCAGCTGAACTCATGCAGGACATTACCTTGGGATCCAGGCCCTTTGCTGGATTCTTGGGTCTTTAGTGTATGGAGATTTCCTGCACTCTTTGTATATGATTCTTTGGGTGACTATTATAATCGTATAAAATGTGTCCTGAATTGTATTGTTTCCTCTTGCAAAAACCCCAAACTACAACACCCCATGTTGCCAAAGGGAGAAGAACTTGCTGTGCCCTCCTTCATGTACGCAGGGAAGATCACCTGGGCCTCGATCCTTATGACTAGTTTCCCACACTGAACTACATAACAAGACCCTGTCTCAAAAAACAAAAACAAAAATAAACTTTATGGACAGAGATTTTCAGCCAGGTATGATGGCACATGCCTGTAATCCTAGCACTCTGGAAACTGATGCAGGAGGGTCACAATTTGGAGCCCAGCTTGGGCAACTTAGCAAACACTGTCTCAAAAAGGGGGGGAATGGCTCTTTTAAACACTGATAGTTTCAACAATCAAGTTCTCCACCAAAACTTTACAGGCCCCAATTTTGGTGAAACTCAACTTTTTAAATCAAGCAGCTGTGCCATTGGCTCTTGACTGTCAAAATAGGTCTGACTGAAAGCCGTCACCAGTACACATGCTATAGCCTGAACATTGAGCCATCTTGAAATTTACTCCACCAGATAATGTCTGCTACCCTTAACTTCAGTTCCCTGACATGAAGAAAATGGAGGCAAACTTTCTGTCAGGGTAACGCACATGTGTATGTCACCCAATTGCTGATGGAGTTTCCATTCCCAGCTGAAACCTCCTGTACCTGAGTTTCACTTTCTGCATATTTGTCAGCATTCTGATCTTCTGCCCTCTGACCAGCTCAGCTTACAGCATGCTAGGACTTCTCTCGCTAGCATCTCCCATCCTTTCCAAACTCCTCCCAGGAGCTACTTCCAAAGGCTTCTGAACCCCATGGTCAGGTACTCACATCAATGACCCCACTCTTGGTACCAAAACCTGTCTTAATCCTCCTGTGTCAGCCTCCCAAGTGCTGGGGTTACAGGCGTGCACCACTATGCCCAGCTTTCAACCACTGTTCTAACCCCTCAGCCCTTTTAAAGGTCTTTAAAATTTTCAGACAGGATTTTGCTAAATTGCTGAGGCTGGGCTTGAATTTACAATGCTCCTGCCTCAACAGCCCCACCAGCTGGGATTACAGGCATGCACCATCACTCCCAGTGAAGATTTTTAAGTGTTTTTTTTCCCTAAGTGGGAAAAAAAAATCTTTAGAACAATGTCTTTAGTGGGAAAAACTTTCTAGAATAAGAAATGGATCTTTCTTTGAATGCAAAGTATTAACCACTCCCTCCTATTGTCAATGATAGAGCCAAGACTCCTGGAGCAGAGTTTGACCCTTGTGTTTGGACAAAGGTGCGGTCATTGCAGGCAGTCACTTGTGGGAGAACTGACGGATGACCTTGCAGCTCCCGGCTCTTGTCTGAAAAGGGCGCTCGCCCAAAAGGAAGACAGTTGTTCTGGGGCCTGTGGGAAAATCCAGCTCACTGCCCAGGGCCAACCTGGCCTAGACCTATCCAAGGTGTCTCTGCTAGGGTAGCACGTACACAGTGCTGCTCAGTCACGGCACAAGCATGTGGTTGACGGCAATACTGTGGCATTTGAGAGGCTGAGTCTTTTTTGGGCTTGGATGGCAGCGGGGCTTGCTTTCTGGGGTTCAGACCTCCACTAACCTTCAGGGATACATGTTATCTCTTGGGGAAAAATTGGCTCTCTATATTACAGCCCTGCCTCACCCACAAAATGCACTCCTGCCTGGAGGCCTGGGTCCTCAAGGCAGCAGTTTTCAAGTGTGGCCTGGAGAGGTGAGCGGGCCAGAATGCATGGTAGAATGGCCGCCTGGGATTTGGGCCCCAATGGAAGGTCACAGTGCTAAGCCATGCATAGTGCCCCAGTGAGGGAGGACCTTGCCCACCTCGAAGTCTGCTGGCCCGCGTGGTCTTTGCTAAGGTGCAGGCTTGTGTGGGGTCCTGCAATGAATCATGTTCCACGCAGTCCTGGGTTCCCCGTCTCCACAATGTTTGGGGCTGGTCCTGAAACACCTGGACTTGTTTTTCTCGGAGCCCAGAGAAACCTAGTGGCCTTCACTTTGTGCCATGGCACCTGCCCTTATGTGCTCAGGTGGAATCCTGCATACCCACTGCCCAGCCTACAGATGCAACTCCTCTCTGTTCCGCCAACTATGGACTTGGCACTGGCCATCGCTCCCCTCCCGCTGAGCCCTGTGGTCAGGCTGGCCTCCACACTGCAGTCCCCCTCTGCCAGCCAGACCTGGGCCTCCATGGCCTCTGCCCATCCTTGTCTTGGGTGTTTTGCTTGGGCTTGCTTCTTCTCTTACCTTAGGCCCCCACAGGCCACCTTGCCTCGCCCCTCTGCTGCTGTGCTTGGGGTCCTGCCTGGCCTCCTTCAGCCCCACTCTCCCAATCTGCCTGGCATTGGCTGCCCCCACAGTGGCTCGGCTTGCTCAGAGCACCCAAGTTTCTCCAGCCCAGTCCAGTCCCATCCCCGCCCCCGCCCCCGCCCCCATCAGCTATCTTCCTCGGGAGTCAGAGCCTCTTGCCCACATCCAGCCTTTTCTGGGCGTCTGGTACAGCAGCCCGAGCTCAGTCCCTGCACTAGTTCTCCTCGGGTTCCTTCAGGCGCCCGGGCATCCTCTGCCTCACTTCCAGCCACTCTTCCTTTCAGGGTTCCCAACTACCAGTGCTGTGGACCTCCCTGGTCCCTCCACCCCTCCTTAATGCTCTCCCTCAAGCTGCAGTTCTGCTCCTCTCTCCAAGGGTCTCACCCCGGTCTGTGGCGCTCAAATCCATGGCACACTTCCTCCATGTCAAGTCCCTGCCCCTCTCCTCAGGTCCCTCTGTGCCTCCAAGGTCCTCTCCTCCCTGCCTCGGCTCCACTCCTTTCTCCCCACGTCTTGACCTGGAAGTCCCACTCTGCAGGCTCAGGTTCCTCCATAGCTCTGGTCCTTTCCCTACGTGAAGCCTCAGCTCTCTCTGTAGCTCTTGGGTGCCATTGAGGTGTGCCACACACCAGGCTTGGGGCTCCACACGAAGCTCCTCTTCGTGTCTCTGTGCCTCCGTGGTCCTTTCCACCAGGCCTTGGGGTCCATTTTGCTATGGTACTTTCCTTCCATTGGGGGTGTTGCACACCCCAAGCTTGGATCTCTCTCTTTGAGCAGAGTAACTGCTAATGTCATAGCTGTGTTCTTTGAATGCTCTTCATGATCCAGTCACAAAAGCAAAGCCAGCCAGCTTGCCTGGGGGGTTCTGCTGCAGCTGTGCAAAGTGTTACTCAGTGGAGCTGGCCAGCTACGGCTCCTCTAGGACAGCAGGCAGCAGGGCAGTCACCTGTGATCTGTGCTCACAGGAGAAGGAGAGCAGCAATGACCATCACTGGCTCTTTAGTGTCCTACTCTGCACCTGCCCACTCAGCTTCTTGACCGTCCAGCGGCCTGCTCAGCTGATGTGCACATCCGCTCCCAGGGGCTCATGGCTCTGTGCGGTGCGGGGTAATGGAGAGATGGGGGACACAGGGAGCAAGAAAGCAGACATGCCAACCTGGTGTTTAATAGAACGTTCCTGACACCTACTGGGTGTAAAAGGGCTTTGTGTACAGTTTATCCTGCTGATTAAAGACCTACGTGGCTGAACAAGGCAGTTTCTTCACCCTCTGCCCCTCCAAGGATTTTTCCTGGAAATCCTTGGGACAAGTAAGAGGCAGCACAGCTCCTTCTGGACGATGGTTTAATCACCTGGCTGCAGGGGGCCCTTCAGCATGGGCAGCCACAGCCGCACACCGCAGAGCTGTCTGTCGGTGGTGTTAATAGTCTCCCGGTCTGCGCCACCTGGATGAGGTCAAGGGGTCCAGAGGCCTGGGGGCCCTACCCTTTGATGACGGCGATTGGCCGCAGTTTAATGGCCTTCTTGCTGATTCCCGCATCATGGCAAGTGTTCACCACATCGGTCACATTCTTATAGGACTCAGGAGCCTGCAGGGAGGAATTACACTGTAGGTCTCAAAAAGCTCTTTCAAGACAACAGACTCCACTTGCAACTATACAACACACATTCAAACAACACGGAGGGCTTACTTTTGCCTATTAGCAAAGGTTAAAATCGAGTAAGCTCAGTGTTGGTAAGGGGTAGTGAGATAAAAACTCCCCTTTTTTTTAAGAGTTTTCTATACTCTTCAAAACTCTCTCCAAAGAATATGTGTTGCTTGTATGATTAAGAAAAGTAGTAGACATAATTAAAACACACACAACAACCCCTGCCTTGAAGAAAATGCACCAAACCACCTGCTGGTGACTGATGTCTCTGCATGGAATCCCTGGCAATGTAAGTTTTCTTTCTTTGCATTTCTGAAGTTACACGTATCAGTAACTTTCTCTTCATAGTAAGGGAAAGCTACTAAATTTATACACACAAAGAACTGAGGCAGTATGTGTGCGCCTATGCCCATTTTGGCTTCAATTCCCTCCCATCTCACTGCCCCTTTATTCACAGCTACACCCTAAGCATACACTGTACACATAAGGGTAAAACAGTTTGGTTCAAACTACTTTTAAAGTTTACACAGAGAAACCATGCATGAACAGTAAAAGTCATTTTATGGACTTGGTTTGGTAATTAATCTCCAAACAAAAGAGTAAACAATATACGACCAAAAGTGAGATAAAACTGAGTCAAATACAAAACTCCAAACAGCCTGTCAGTAATACTCAAAACTGCTCTCTCTGCACTGGCATAAATGATAAATTATGCTAATTATTTTGTAAAATTTCACTCACCTCTTCCATAACTAGTTTGGGCGAGGCCACCCGGATTGCAATTCCCATATCTGCCAGTTTGTCTAAGACATCCTGGAAATCTAAATTACGTCGCGATTTTGCTCTGGACAACGCTCGGCCCTAGAATGGGAAAGGAATGAATGCTGCTTGATAAATTCTGAGTTCAATTTGATGTCTGACCCCAGCAATTATTTAAACCTTAGGATTATACCTTTGCCTTGATTTTTTTATTATTATTATAATACGTACCTATTTGAGGCAATGTAGTCTATACTGCCTAGGCTGGTCTCAAACTCATCATTCTCCTGCTTCAGCCTCCTGAGTAGCTAGGACTATAGATACCTGTTACTGCACATTTATTTTTTTCTTATTTATTTTTCTTTTTTAAGTTGAAAAGTTTGAAAACTACCTTTTGTTTTACTGTATCAACCTTTTTCTGCATCTTTTATAAGAAACCTTATATATCCTTTCAGGAAACAAATTTCTCATCTGAAGAATTTTAAAGATATAGTTTTGTGTTTCTAGTTACTGTTATCACCTCAATATATACCTGAATTTTTTTTTTTTTGGTTCTGGGAATCGAACTCATGATCTCCAGCTTGCCAGGCAAGTGCTTATGCTGCTGAGCTATATCCCTGGCCCTGTACCTGAATTTTTAAGTGCAAGCAGTGTCTGTCATGACAAAAGCCTGTGCTTTTCCCCTCGGCAGGCCAAGCCAGGCGCCCTTTGCAGGGGCAGCCCGTGCATAGCAGGGTGCTTGGCACCACCTTCAGCCTCTATCTACTTCCTCTGTCCAACCGTGAACACCATAAACACCTCCCAACGCTGCCAATGCGCCTAGACAAGGGGGCACTTCACCTTGGTTGAGAACCACTGCACTTAAACTAGGAGGGAGGAAGCAGCTGCCAACGAAAAATGGGCAGGGACAAAAACAGGGATGAAATGTATTTGTGAGGGCCTCTTATGGCACAGGTGTTGTAAGCAGTTTCTACTTCCCACTCTATCACCAGTTAGGTATTCTGAAGGCTTAAAATAGGAGCTGGCAAACTACAGTGTATTTAGTCCCCCACTTATTTTGTAAATGAAGCTTTTATTAGAACACAGCGATGCTCGTTTATATATATTACTCGTGGCTGCTCCTGCACTCCGATGGCAAAGCTCAATACTTGGCACAGGGAACATATGTTACTGTTCTCCAAAGGAGCCCACCTACCCGGCCCTTTATGGAAAAAGTTTACTGATCCCTGGGTGAGAACGTGAGAAGCAATGTGCTAACATGCATGTGCTGATGACAAAGAGACTCCGATTTGCAAATAGGGTGTGTCCCCAAATCTCCAGCACATGCCCCAGGAAAGAGCAAATTAGGCAATTGAGCAGTTTTTTGGTTTTTTTTTTTCGTCTTTTTGAGACAAGGTCTTTCTATGCAGTTCAGGCTGTCTTTAACTCAATTTGTAGCCCAGGCTGGCCTCGAACTTGCAATGATCCTCCTGCCTCAGCCTCCTGAGTGCTGAATTGAGCAGTTTCAATCAATCACTGAGGTAAGCTGCTGTAAATGTGCATCAGTTCAATTTGTACCACTAAGAACCAGCTATAGTATGCTCAACTCTAGTGCCAATTTCCCACCCTGGATTATCTGGATGTGCAGACTATGTTCCAGTCCCCGGCCCTACCATGACCTTGCTAAAGTAGACACAGGTGACTTCAATCAGTTCACTAAACTGTGTACTTCAGAGGAGTAATTCCCAAGTAGAATCCTCAATGACAGACTCAGTCCCTGACTCCGCTATGCTCAGTCAGATGCCTTTATCTGTCAGAATGCAAAACAAGAGCTAAACTGAAGACAATACTCTCAGAAGTTCCTGTTCCTTACCGCACCATGACAGGTGGTTCCAAAGGTCTCAGTCATGCCTTGCTCAGTCCCGGTGAGAACGTAACTGCAGGTTCCCATCGTGCCACCAATGAGCACTGGCTGCCCAGTGAGCTGGGGACGCACACAGATCAGACATGTTAACACATGAAATTCACATTTTCTGCACTGAGGAATTGTGGGAAGAATTTGGATTTCTAACCCATGTAAGACACCTGGCCCCTTTTGGCTTAATTTCTTATCTGCAAAACGAGTGCAGACTAAGGGTCTTTCCAACTTCCCCAGAGCCGCGTGCTGAAAGAATAAGAGGAAAGAAACAGATCCATTCTAATCTTTACCCTGTCTTCTGGTGATTCAAAGGCCTTAGCCCACATTTGTGGAGTAAAATACACTTAATGCAGCATTTTTTGGATAGCACACTGCAAGCACAAATGACAAAAGGGAGTCACTGTTCTCACGGGTGTTTCTTTTCACAAAGGCTGCTTTCCTGTTTAAATGCAGCCCCGTTTACAACCATCCAAATCATGGTGTCACTGCTGAAACCCACACAGCCCCCCTTGTACCTGGTAGTCCACAGCGATGAGCGGGTGGTGTGGAGGGAAGGCACGGGTGGACCCCTTCCGGTGCACCAGCAGCGTCCGCTCCTTCCCATCCACAACGTGCTGCTCTACTTTGGCAATGTTGTGGGAGACATCGTAGATCACGTGCAGGTCTAGATCATCCGGGGTTGTGTTGAAGACCTTGGCAAAAGCCTGAAAGGAAAACCGTGTTTTAAGAGGAGCCAGGACTGGCTCTTGCAAACCAACCTCAGAGATTTTAACTGGTTTGTTCCTGCAGATGGTCAAGGATTTAAGGGTCCAAAAATGGCAATATTACTAACTTCACGTAAAGTTAGTAATAAAAGTTAGTAATTCAACAACCACACTCACAGCTTCCACGCTGCGCTCCATCCCATAATTCCACTCTGGAGTGACAGCTGCCTGGACTCAATCCCCAGCCCTGTGAATGGCACTTCTACTCTCTCTGCAGCTCAAACGCGTTCTAGCAGTCCTCTGCATCCTTTCTCTCACATCCCAGGGCTGCCTGCCACTGCGGTTTAGTTAATGATGACACCAGAGCTGTGGACGCTTCTCTGGTGCTCTGAACATGAAACCTCACAGGCTGATGGGACCATGTTTTAAAGCACTTGACCTTGTCGTCGTGAAAAGCTGGAACAGACGAGCAATTCCACCGTACCTGGCGGGTTAGGAAGGTCATGGATGAACGGTTGACCCAGGCATAGTTGCCAGCAGCCGCCATTCCTTTAAGGTAGTCCTGGCCCTCTGATGAAGCGATCCGAGCACAAGCTAACTGCCGATCATTGACTATGATCTTGTCTCTCTTCATGGCCTTTTCCATAGCCACCAATGCATCTGGAACAAGAGGACACATGAGTAAGCCCTCACTTAAATAAATCACTAGACTGCTACAAAAAGGCAGGGTATACTCCAACTCACTCTACAAAGAAACAAGTGAAACATAACCTCTTTGATGTGCCTCTGAGTTCATCTATCTGCTTGGCCAAGTAATATTGTTAGGTTGGGCATAGTGGTGCACAACTATAATCCCCATATGTACTTGGAAGGCTGAGGTGCTAGGATTGCAAGTTTTAGGCCAGCACGGGCAGTTTAACGAGAGCCTGTCTCAAAACAAAATTTTTTTGAAAAGGGGGCTGGAGATGTAAGTCAATGACAGAGCACTTGGCTAGCATGTCCCAGGGTGGGCAGGGCTTGGGCATCCTCTTTCAGAGCATGATGACACAAATTATGTGGGAGAAAAAGACAACGTTTGCCCTCTATACACATGTACTAAGAATGAGTATGTACATAAACAGCAAAAACATGGCCTTATTTCTCCTTTCCCAAGGTGTGAATGAATGAGAATACAAACAGAAAATACATTTTATTTCCATTATGACCTATAAAAGTAATCTTCAGGGCCTCACAATATAGAAAAAAACTGGTTGCTAGACCTTTTGTTTGGTTTTTTTTTCTGGTACCGGGAATCGAACTCATGACCTTGTGCTTGCCAGGCAGGCACTGTGCCGCTGAGGTAAATCCCCAGCCCCTTAGACCTTCTATTTGAAAACCAACTCCATAATAGAGAATCAAATCTAAGAACTCAGTGGAAAAGTTCACAAACACTAGTCAGTACTTTGTATATCTGTTAGATTAAAAAGCCTAAGGGTCAGGCTGACACAGATTATTAAATTCATAGGATAAAACAATACAAAGCTGAAGTACAACATGGAATTTCATGTTTATACTTTCTATGTGTTTATACACCTTTTCCTATATTCAGTCAACCTTTCACACGCCTTGTCAATCATCCAAAGTAACCACTCTGCCTGCTGCCTGTTTTTGTGCACACTGTTTTTTTTGTCTTGTCCTGTGTGTAACTGTTTAAATTACAAGGACCTGGTCAAACATCTCTGAAATCTTTTTCCTGAACACATGCGTTTATTTTGTCTCTCTTATTTTATCAATTATAACCTGCTATCTTTATTTTTCCTTATGAACATGATCTGTTCTTTATGAGTGTTTCAAAGTAAAATACCCACCTGTTCCATCACCAATTCCACCATAATTCCAAATCCTGCACAACAGGTATTTAATATGTATTTGCTGAACAAATGCCAACTTCATCAACTCCACAGTTCAAACACTGTCTTGGGCTTTCTTGGCAAGATGGCTGAATGTAATGAAAGCTGGAGCTGATACATACCAAGTACTTAATAAATGTCAGGCATTCCTTTAATTGCTTTACATACATTATTTCCTTAACCTTCCATGACCCTATCATACAAAGTGACCATGCCATTTCTTCAGGTGAGAAAGTTAATTTGCAGGTTATAAATGAGGAGACCAAAATAAAAAAATCCACACAGCACAGTTCAGAGCTGCCTTAGCCCCCTGTGTGGCTAAAATATTAGTAAAATATTAGGTCTGCACGGTACCTGTGGCTACCTGGTGGCCCAGGCCGCGGCTGCCACTGTGGATCATCACGCACACCTGCCCCTTGTGGTCAATGCCCATCTTCTTCGCAGCATACTCATTGAAGATCTCATCCACAACCTGGATTTCTGCATAGTGGTTGCCTGCACCCAGGGTCCCCAGCTGTAAACATACAGAACATCTGATAAACAGCTTCAGTTCTGGTGTTTATAAGAGACATTTAAAAAGCAAGTGGGTGGAAACAAACCACCACCAACAACAAAATAACCATACAAATAGCGTTTTGTGTTACAAAAAATTCTAAGCTTTAGCAATGCCCCATTAATTTACAACAATATTCCACATGACAAAAATAATAGCTACGCGTGGTGGTACACGCCTGTAATCACAGCACTCAGGAGGCGAAGGCAGGAGGTTTATTGCGAGTTCAAGGCCAACCGGGGCTACAAAGTGAGTTTCAAGACTAGCCTGAACTGCATAGTGAGACCCTGTCTCAGAAAGACCAAAAAAAAAAAAAAAGAGACTAGTTCCTGAAATCTATCACATCGTTATATAACTGAAGTACATGTACCTAAAAAACTTAAAAAACCAAAAACCCCTCATACCATTAGATGGTTCATGCAATGTTCTAAATGTCATGAAAGGAAGGGTCACATCCTATGACAAGCACCAGGGAATACAGACTCTTAGGTTCAAGTTCACATGATGTCTCACATGTCTGAATTTATGGACACCCAGCGTTACCCATCACTGCAAGAACACAACTGACTGGAGCCAATGCACAATATAAAAAGCTGAGGAAGAGCCGTGCTGGAAGAGTTGTCAGAGGCTGCCTACTTTTAACTGTTTCCATTTTCAATGAAATAATGAGCTCCACAGAGGCCAAAGAGCCTCCCTGCCCAACATCACTTGAACTGATGGCAAAGCACTTACAAATTTTGGCTATGGATTTCAAATATATGATATATTCTCTCATGGACACCATGAACTAGTATCTCTTTTTTGTCTTACATGCCAGAAAACTTTGGGTCACATGTGGCAAGTGTCAAAGTCTATCCACATATAATTTTGGCATACACTGTAAGCTTATAATTATGTCCCACTTTTGTTCTTTGAATTCATAATACTGTTTTATTCTATGAACGTATGATCTTTCTGATAGCTTTTTAGAAAAATGATGTTTTTGATACATCTTTTCCCCATAGTGATTTACGGGATATTTAAGCCAATATAAATATTTGAGTATACACCTACACAATACTTCAGCAATATTTTCCAGCAAGAAAAACACTAAGAGTAAAGACCTGACACAAGTAACTAGGTAGTAAAAATCGGCTCCAAATACTTGTTTCTGAGGTAAAGGCACCACACACCTGTTCAATTAAGAAAACCATCCTTACAACACAAGATGATTTTAGGGGCTGAATGGCAGAGCTACATCCCCAGCCTATGCAGTGAATTCACAGGCAACAAGTTCCAGCGAATCCTCCTTCCCATTGGTTCTCACAAAGTGTGCTTCTCTGGGCAGGGCAGGCTGGCCCTTCAGCTGAACCCAGGGACCTTTCTCTTCAGCTTCCTTCCTTTTCTGATCATGCTCCTTGACATGTTTCAGGAAGTTATCTCGACTCTCTCTAGGGGTTTAATATGCTCAATACGCGTATTAATCCCCTTGGCAAGTATCGTGCCCTTACAATGTTCCGTGTTTACAATGCCAACAGCATGCTGGGTAACACTGTACTTTTCCTGTTTTGCCATGGTAACATCTGTGTGGCGTTCCTTTTTGCACAGTACCCATTCCCTCAATGTCTACAGTATCACCCTTTCTGTAGATTCACATTCATGTGGCCAAAGAATAACCCCATGTTTTCTAAAAGGCCTAGAGAACATACACCAGGTTTCCCTCCTCTTTCCCTTTGTGTTTGTCACTTTGCAAATTACTGAGAGACGACAGTTCCGGCTGAAAGGGCGAAAAATGATGTTTAAATAAAGAGATCTGCATTCTTTTTCATACACTTTGAAAACATTTGAGGGTATACTTTTGTTAAATGGAAAATATATGTTCTTTTCTCAAATAAAATTAGAAAATCTTTCACATGGCCCATGTTGTGAGATTACCTGAGGAAGGCCTCTCTTTTTGGCCCTTGCTGAGACCTTGTTGGGGTCGGCCTGCAGCATCCTTCCATACTCCTCACAGTGCTCCTTGTCCTCAGCCCAGGCATAGCCTTCTCGCAGGGACCAGTCTACACCCATCTCCAAGGCCTCCTCCAGGTCTCTGGGGAGTAACAGAAAGTGCCAGTCACCTCCAGCAAGTATGTCCAGACCAGGACAGAGCACATCTCACAGGGCAGAGGACACACTCACTGAAACTGGCCCTGGGCTACATTTTATACTCTCAGCAACCGCAGTGCTCTGAGTAGAGTTCATAAGTAATGCTATAAAATAGTAAAGGCCTCATCCAACATGACTATGCATGTTCTACTCGATGTTCACACAGCCCTTGTACTTTTCAAGCTGAGGGGCATACACGTCAAATGCTTACAGGGAAGAAAGCTTTCATCTTCATCTACAGTATAGCCCTTTTCCAAAGCAAGGGCTTTCAATACTCCTTTCCTCACTACCCCAGGTGATAGGCCATCTCAAGCATTGTTACATCAAAATTCCCATCTAAGATATTGGCAGAGCCACTAGAAATTGATTTATGTTACATGTATACTTTTCAGGGTGGGGCTATGTATCAGGGTTCATGCAGAACCACAGAACAAGCACCTCCCAATGTACCAAGTTACTTCAAGTGGTTTTTATGTGTGCAAGGAAATCATATAAAACAGCTAAAACATTTTTATGTTAACACATATATATATTTGCAAAGAATACAGAGTCCATAAAAATTTTAAAGATAAGACAGTTTTAAGACAGCAAACACGTCTGATTTGTTCAAAAGTCTGGCTAATGCAGTGCTTTGTGTGAGGCGGGGAAACAGGCAGGGAAACTTAACGGTCACCTGAGCGCAGTTTCATGGCAGCCTTGCATTTAGTTCCCCACTAGGCTGAGAGCTCAGCCAGGGCTAGTACCCAACAGGAAGGGTGTGGCTGCCTGGGTTCAATGCTACAGGCAGTGGGGTTCACAATGCAGCCTCTGAGGAAGGCAAAGAGCCTTCATCTGAATCCAGATGAAGATAATCCAGATAACTTACTAAGCTCATTTACTATCACCTTTCTCAACCTCCGCTTCCTTTTGTAAAGCAAGGATAGTAACAGGGTTGCTGTCTTCATGCAACAGTAGGACGAGCAGTGCCTTACATGAAGAGGAGGGTCAGTGGCTGTCATTCTACTATATGGACACTGCTGTGTATCAAGGACTGCTCTAATGAACATTAGTAGGTGGAGATATAGCGGATGGGCCGCACATCACACCTGAAACAGCAACTCATTTCTACTTCCCGGTAGAGGCCGAGCAAAGGCACTTCGCAAGTGTCCTAGGATGGACATGAGGCTGAGCACATGGTTATCCTCTCCCCTCACTTACTGAACACTGTGTGCTTACTTGGCATTCATCGGGATGACCCCTTTGGACCCCACCCCAACAGGAATGTGGTCAAACATAGCTTGGGCCAGTTGTTCCTTTACAGGCTGGACATCACTTTCATCCAAATTTGTTCTCAGCAGGCGGACACCACAGTTGATGTCAAATCCGACGCCACCTATAAAATACAGAACAGTCAAATATTAGGAGCACCACGTAGTCAGGCAGTTGTTACCTGAAGCTTCTCACCATTACTATAGTGTTTAAAAGATATCCATCCTCTTAAATACAACTGTTCTAACACAGCCATTCAAGTGGCTTCTGCAGAGGGAAACCTGGTGACGCTGAACACTGAAGGCACTCCCGTGGGCCAAGGAGGCAGGAATGAGTGTCGAGTAAGGTGGGAAATGGGTGGAAATGAGTAGGGCACGTCTCTTCTTGATTGTCACCAAGGGTTAATGAATTCTACTGTCTTTTCCAATAACCAACTCCTAGCTTTGCTGGTCCTTCCTACTCAACGGCTTTTCTTTAACTGTACACTTAGTCATTTCTGTCTGTCTTCTTTCCAGTAAATACACACCAAAGTGATAAGAGCAAACTCAGTACTTACTGTGTGCCCAGCACTGGCCCAACACAGTTGAGCTCGATAATGCTGTGTGGTAACATTCCTAGACCTAATCTGCCTTAGGAGACAACTGGATCACAAAGATACAGAATTCGCCAAAGAAATGCTTCCATTTGTTTGGTGGCCAATGTCTGAATATTGTTTGGCATTTGAAAGGAACCCAAAAGATTTTCAATAAATATACATGCTTAGCTTGACATATGAATTGCCTGAGTGTCCACAGCAAATTTTCTCAGTAAATAAGAGGAAAAGAAATGAAAGAATCAGTCAGATTAGGAGATGCACACAAAGAGAAGCTGTGCTCTGTCTCAGAAACTCCATAACCCACGGCGAGAAGCCACACAATAACAGACTGTTTGGTGACCTTACCTGGGGACACCACTGCTTCCGGGTCATTCATATCAAAGGCCGCCATGTTCCCAATAGCAAACCCATAGCCTGAGTGGACATCAGGGAGCCCAATGGATCGCTGGAAGAGAATCAGAACATGAAGCACAGCTATTGCTGGCTGGCACTATGGTCACCTAATGGGCGTGATACTGATTCTCAGTATTAACGTTTTTTTTAAATCAACATTTTTTTCACCCTAAAATCTCTATTGGTGTAAATGAGGATTAAGAAGACCTAACCACAAAGGTAAATACAGTTAGAAAACAAATCTGTTCATAAAGTCTGACTTTTAACTAAGGACATTCCTCAAAGTAACAGCATATAGAAGGGCCTCACAGTAGCTTTAATGTGTTATTATCTTTTAAAGGTGGTCCCAAGACACCAATAAATCATGTTGTGTCAGGTTAAAAAAAGATAACTGCAATTTACACAGGTCACTAGACAAATGCAATTTATTTGATGACATGCATACTGTATACTCTATACATCTAGGGCCTAGAAAAGGAGCCTTCCCCAGGAAGAAAGCAAATCAAATACAGCAAGGCTTTATGAAGACACCCAGACACTTAGGAGCTCTTACCTGCAAAAGCCATGTCCTTTCATCTCCTCCTCTTACCCACAGCAAAATAACCAGCATAAAGAAGGACTCACATTCACTGTTAGATGAATCCATTTCCACATGCACCTCCAGATGCAATCTGAATGTTAAACTGTATGGCCCACAGCTGCCAGCCGGCTTCATCCCTGTTATTTTCCAATTATGTCCAAAGAACTACACTGTCCTCTCTCCAGTCCCAGTCCCAACCATTAACCTCTTCTTTCTGTTCCTTTCCTTCCCCAACTACTCTCTTGAATATGGCCATGGTGAAACCCATAATGGTGGTACACAATCCACGAAGAATGATGTCAGTCTGACAGGAAATACAAAAATATATCAACTACACCAAAGGGTCCCAAAGGCAGCCAGAAACTACAACAGTAATCAGGCTCAGTTATGTCCAAGATCCTTTGGTTACTCTAGATGTTCAAAGGTCATTGTCTAAATGATACCATTATCTGTCAGGCATGACCATTCGCCCATCAGCAAACTTTTGCCAAGGAGAAACATAAATGATTAAGGTTCTGGAGTCTGACTCACATGAACAATTCCAGGCAGGGCTGCCACATTGCCAATCTGCTTCATGGCTGGCAAGAAGCCACCAACACCTGGGGAAAAAAAAACTGGGTCTTAGCAGCGGAAGAGCACTTTTGATTTCAGCATGAATACACTCACGTTTCTAGGCTACATTATACAAAGGGACAGTGGTGGAGGTTTCTAGCACAACTGAATGGGTAAGGCTGGTTAAAATGTGAATGGGAGGGGGGACTGGGGATTTAGCTCAGCGGCACAGCGCCTGCCTGGCAAGTGCAAGGTCATGAGTTCAATGCCTGGTACCAGAAAAACAAAACAAAACAAAACAAACACAAAATGTGAATGGGAGGGGAGCTTCCACAGAAAGGCAGCCCAGTGACAACTACACTAATTACAAACATATCGCCAGAGCCCTGCATATACTTTGACAAGTTTTCTTGCAAATGCTGTGCTGGGAATATACAACGGAACTGCCAGACTATGTCAGTGTAGAGAAGAAAGTATTCTTTCAATATTTCACATTACCAGCCCCCCGACAAAAGGGTTAATCTAAATGACAGAGAGGGAAATAGGAAAACAATGGCTTGAAAATCAGGGGCCACAGAGATCCCATCCACCTGTCTCACTCATGTGTCACTTTAGACAAGTGAGCACATCCTGCTGGGGGAGGGAGGGCTTTAGTTTGCTCATCTTAAAAATAAAAGGGGCTAAACAAGGTGGTGATTTCCGTTTCACTTTCACCATCAGCATATTGTCTTAGAGATTTAAACACTGATCTCTAACCTTCATGGCAGCCCCGCAAGATAGGGTACCAAGTCCTATCTTACTGATGAGACACTGGTTAAGAACGTTGGGTCTGAAATGAGCACTACTGGATTTGAAATCTGGCTGTCACCAGGAGGTTGTGTGATCATGAGCAAATTAAGATTACTTGACCTCATGACCTTCTGACTTACGCATCTGTAAAATCAAGATAATAATAACTGTCTTTTAACTTCTGTTAAGTACTACGTGAATAATCTACGGAAGGCACTAATAAAATGCCTGGCACACAGCAGGAGAACAAACGATGCCTCTTACTATTATTGTTCAAGGTTAACTGAGACACAAAGCAGGCGCTCAGCTCTAAGCCCTTTCCACGAGCCCGAGTGGCCAAGAGGAGTTGTGCTTTGGTTTGTTTCAAGTCTTGGTATTTTCCTGACAGTATTTTTAAAATGGTAATATTCGAGCCACCATTTGTTCAGGCCACACATCAGGGTATCACAAGTGAAACTAACACTCACCGCCTCCTCGACAGGCGTTCCTTAATTCCTCAAACATTAATTTCTCTAGAGCATCATTCACATAGAAAACGCCTTCAACCTGGAGCCAAAGAAAAGAAAAAGAGCACATGAAGGTGAAGTACAGGCGCTATGGACACAATAATTATATGCCATAGTTTGCTTTACCTTTTTACTAAGCTTTCATATTACCTTCAATAAGAGAAGAACTTCCCATCAAAGACTAAAAGATGTTCAAAGGGTTTCAGATTTTGGAGTGTTTCAGATTTGGGGGTTTTGGATTAGGGATGCCCCACCAGTACAGTCTATGCAAATAATCCAAAATCCAAAGAACTCCCCAAACTGGAAACAGTTCTGGTCCCAAGCACTCCAGAAAAAGGATAAGCAACGTGCATTTTGCAATGTTCATACACTGCTCTGAGATGATCAGTATGTTCACCCCAATTTACACATTACACATACACATGTGTAACATCACACGGTGCCCCGTGATATGTAAATTCTCACCTGCCAATTAAAATAATAAATGACAAACGGCCCTTGCTCCCCAAACCAAAGGGAAAACACAGCACTGTTTTGTCACTGCAGGCCGCTTCTCCCCTCGGTGCTGACAGGGACATGTGATCCGCTCTGACACCGAGTGAGCGTGAAATGGCTATCAGGACTTCTTCCCAACACACAGGCCTGGCACCTGAAGGGATCCGAGAAGCTGTCACACAGGCCCACAACCTCACACATGCTTTCCCCCGTACTGACGTGTGAGCCTGGGCCAGGCAGCAGCTCCAGCTTTCAAACTCGGCTCCCAAGGCTGCAGCGGGACACACCGCCCTGTCAGGGAGAGAAGCGGACTGGACCCACGTCCCGGCCGAGGCGCGTGCTGTGCGGGTGTGGACAGTACCGTCACGGCCACCCAACGGTCCTCAGCGCCCTCAGGGAAGAGCACACTAAAACCAGCCCTGCCTTGTTGATCTGCTGTGAGGAACCTTTTTTTCCCTCGCAGCACTGAACCTGGGGCTTTCACACTGAGCTACAGCCCCGCTCCTTCTGTCTCGTTTTTTTTGTGTTTGTGTTTGTGTTTTTGTTTTGTCTTTTTGAGACAGGGTCTCGCTATGCGGTTCAGGCTGGCCTCGAACTCGCAGCGATGCTCCTGCCTCAGCCTCCCACTGCTGGGATGTTGCTGTTTGCGTTTTAATTTTAAGCCAGGTTCCGCTACACCGCCCAGGCCGGGCCTGGACTCCCAGCGGCCCGGGACGAGAGGCTGCGCGCCACCGCGCCCGCTCCAGACCGTGGCACTGCACCCCAACAGCGAGTGGGAGGGCTGGAAACGCGGCTCCGCGAGCGCAGGCTGCCCCGCCGCGCCCCTCGCACGGGGCCGGGCACTCGGGCCGCTTCTGCGCGGGAGGAAGCGCTTCGCAAGGG